AAATATTCTCATGTGAAAAAAAAATAATAAATACAAATATTAAAAAGGAATAGAAATATTCAAATATGTGAAGTAAAAATATTTAATTTACATATATCATTTGAACATAATTACACAAAATTTTTGATTTGAAAAAAAGTATCTAGGAGATGTAAGTCAAACAATTACCCATATACCCGTACTCAATCAATGTGGGGATTCTCCATCAAAAAGGGATGGGTTCAGAATATATCCACAGGGATGAGTTTAGTTGTCATCCTTAGTTAAAAGGCAATTAGATCAAAATTCAAAATTGGCCTTACAACGGAGTAGTTGAGCAATAATGTTAGAGCTTAAGCCACGTGAAGAAAACTTCACAACAAAGAAACCTTCAACACCACATTTGGGAGCTGAACCACGGAGGAAATCCACCTTAAAAGGAAACCTCCACTATTGACCATCACAAAAGAGGTTTGAGCTAGAAGAAAACACCAAATTTTTATCACCATGATTAGAATTGAAGCCAATCAATAGAAGTTTATAAAAACAAAGTAATGCTTTTTTATTTGCATCCAAATTTTAACTTCTTTTTAGAACTTTATTAGAACACTTCTCTTCTAAATATTAAACTCCTTTGTAAGAGACATGAAGGAGGAACAAAAGCTCGTAGTTTTTATCGTTAGATCCATCATGAGTAACTAAATTCTCTTGTGTTAGGATTGAATGTAACTACTTTGGATTCTCTGTACTGGTACTAATTTCTATTTATTTAAATGGTTTATAAAGATGTTATTGATTTGATTCATGTTTAATGCTTGGATAAATCACTCATCCATTATATCAACTTGGATTGAGTTGGAAACTATTATAAGTTAAGATCCAATCACATCATCTATTATTATTAGGTGCTATGAATATAAAGTCTCATTCTTAATGCAAAGATTCATTCAATCAGGAGTGGGGGAATTACACTGAGTATAAACTCCTTAGGTTATAAAGTGAAAGAATTGCTTTAGAAGTAACTTAGTACTTCTAGGAACACTGAATAATGATTTGATACTCAGTAAATTAGTAATGGTAAAGTAGAAACAAAGTAATGAAACTCTATCCCAACACGCTCATTCTCATTAGTTTATCTAATTAAATTTTAATTGTGTGGATCAATATTAAACTACTAAAGTACTGTTTTATTCCAAATCTAGATTAATTCAAGGTTATTGATAAATATGAACATATCCATGTGGATACAACACTTGTTTATAACAATTGAGCCAATTCACTTGCTAGTATTTGACACTAGAGGTCAACATTGACCAAATATTTAATATTTAATGTAAACCAAGGAGATCAAGAACAAGTAGACTTAGTGGTAGTGGAGTGTGAAGGATATGCCTTGACTTGGTGGCACAAAAGTTTTATGGACAATTACCAAGGGTCAGTCGCAACTCCTATGAATGTCTTCATTTTTTACATAAAAAGTCATCAAACTATGAATTATACTAAATATTCTATATTATGTACATCTATCAAACTTATGAAACAAACACTACTCCAAAGCGTATTCACTCTTATTGGCTACCACGACTAGCTCCTGAAACATTTTGTATTCATGTCAAAATGATGATCGTCGCAAAGGAAGAGAAAACACATAACCACAAACAAAAAAAGGGTAAGCTAATGCTAACATAAACATACATAAACAATTTATAACTTAATATCTCAACCAATTCAAAACAAAACATTTAATGATTCAGTCAGCATATCATTCTTAGTCAGCATATCATTCTTAGATACCTAAGCAAAATATAATACTAGACTTGATATCTAAATTTATGCACTCACTACTCTAGAAGCTTTGTGTTGTCATGTAAAAATAATGAATTTCTTAGCATTACAATTCTAGTAATGATACATGTTCCCCCTCTCTCGTGACAAAGTGAGCTAACTTATAGCCTAAAGGAAATGAAGTTAACAACCCTAAGACTAGCTATAAGAATCTCCTTCCCTCTTCACCTCTTAGACCTCTTCCTCTATATGAGTCTGAGAGTCTAGTAGAGTATAAGGATAACTTTCAAAGAGTGTCCCTAATAAATGCATAACACTAGACTTACATGTCATACCCTTATTCTTTAGGAATTATATGACCATACAATTCAAACACAACATTCAATACACATACAACATTCCTAAGACCTGATAAAATCTCTTAAAACAGTTCATTACATTCCTCTCATACAATAATGATATAACCTCTTTGAAAATTTTCATATTTTTAATACTCCTCAATCATTTCCTCCTTATTCATATTTTTATAACACAACCACAATATATAAATAAAATTATTTCATCACATTGACATGTCTTACTTTTCACATCACACTTATTTATCATTCCCAAAACACATACTTTTTATATTAAGATCAACTCAAGATCACAACAGTACATAAGAAATTACTAACTTAGCAAATAGAAATACCTTTTACAAAAGAGAAACCTAAAATATAGTGCAATCATGACAAATTAACTGGTCTAACTACGAACCTCATATCAACGATCCCACCAGTCAAAATGAATAATCATTTTTCTAAGATCAATTGTCAAAATTTCAACTTGATATAATGGTAACGAAGCAGAAATTTCAACTTTCTTAAAATAACTCAGAATAGAAAAACCTAGTTTTGTAACTGGTAATCATTTACCAACATTCCTAAAGCCATATTTATGCAAATAGCACGATTTTGCAACTAATAATTGATGATCAACGAGATGTAATTGATTACTAGTGTCAAATTGGTCTACATATAACCAAACCTGCAAAATACCCATGTGAATCATACCAATAATGCACATCTCATGTTTTACACAAGTCCTAAACACTTAAAAAACCATATTAAAACAAGTCATTCTCGCCAATAATTATCTAATGCTCACACATACACATAATTCTTCATTTGAATCTCTATACCTCATTTCACAACAAATACCAATCTACAAACATATGAATTTTTCTTACCATAGGAAACCCCCAAATTCTCGGCTAAATAAACAAATTTCATAAATTTCAAGTCATCCCAATATACCAATTTAATAAATTTCATTGTCAACATATTTTATGCAACTTAACCATTCAATTTAAAGAAACAATGCAATTCCAAGTTCAAAAACAGAAATTCATTACACAATCAACAATTAAAAAAAATTAAATTTAACCTAAATAGTTAAAATTAGTTTTCCTCACCTTAGCCAAATACCTTTCTTCCCAAACAAGGATTTTCTAGAACACACAAACACACACGATTCCTTAAACAAACAACAAAAATCTGATTAGCGTTCTAAGCCTACTATTAAGATAGAAAACAACAAAAAATCACAAAAAATAATCTTAAATCACATTCATGATTTTAGAGCTATTTGCAAATGTAAGGTTTCAAACATAAAAAAAACAAAAGGGTTATTCTATTTGACATTTGATCAAATGGTTTTATAAGATTCCTTACAAAAGAATCACAATTATAATTTTTAATTGTTAAAAAGATAAAAAAAAACGAGTAAGATAAGCTAAAGTGAAATTAGAAAAAATTTAAAAAAATTGGTTGTAAAGAAATGATGGTTTTAGAAAAAAAAAACTTTAATTATTGAAACCTATGTATGATGTCCTTTGATACTAAAAAAAACTGTAGTATTTTATTTTTAATAAAACCACCAATACTGTTATATCCACGCTTATTGATATGCAAAATAATAATATTAAATTTATTAGTTAACTTTAATACATGTTCTTTTCGTGGATATATTAAATAAATATTAGACAATAGTAAATTTAACCTAAATGTTAAAACTATTAACATTTCAAAACATTTTTTTATTCTACATACTTTAACTTCTTCACCTACACAGTTAAATATGTCTAAAAATACCTTTTAAATGGTCAAAACATTAATTCACACAGTGTATAGTGGTGACATATCACTGGACCTTTTCAACCGTGTCACATGATTGTGCATGTGCTGTTACGTGATGTTTGAAAATGATGTGCATAAATTATAATTATATATATATATATATATATATATATATATATATATATATATATATATAAAATTCTATATAATACAAATTAAATAGGACTTTTTGGGCAACAACGAATTAAATATCATTTGGGCCCTCAACAACACATACCATAATATATATAAATATCTATAATTTAATTCAAATAGCTTTCCATTGAACAAGGCGGGGATCACAAGGTACTTTATAAAATTATAAAGTAAAATAATAATATTCTATTTCTTCAACAATGATAGAAAGAGTTTAATTAAAACTTCCACAAAAATCATTATTTATAATTTAAAGTAATTACTCCCTTTGCTATTTATTATAGAATACATCTTTTTCAGGATTTTTTTATCCTTTTCATAAAATACTTTATAATGATAATAATAACTTAAAACCATCAATAATAAAAAATTAATCTGATGCATTCATGATATTCTTTAAAAATTCAACTAAATTAATTATTTTATGAATGTGTTTAATTATTATATTGAAAGTGCCCTATCTTAAAATTCAGATGAACGCTTTTTTAGAATAATTCTAGTTGGATTGAATATAATAATTATACATAATTAATGCAATTATTAAAAACTATTTCAAAGTCAAAGTCATCATTTTATTCGAATGGCTTAGTATAATGTTTTTTTATACATGTATCACAAATCTTAATTGTATACTGTTACAATTTTATTTTTAATAATCATGAGCTGGAAAAAAAATGTTATGTAGTATAAATACTCCCCTTCAATATTTTAATGGTGATTTTTTTTTTTGTTTATGTTTAATAATATCATTCAGTCTAAAGAATATGTAAAAAAATCAAAATAGCATATAACAATGTAAAAGTAACGTAAAACGAATATATGGATACATTATAGTTAATTTGATTAAAAAGCTCTTAACATTATATATTTATTATTACTCTTATTATTTAAATATATAGTTTTTATTTACTCGTGTCTATCGGAAATGTTAGAACTGGAGAGAAAGAAGGAAGAGAGTTCAATTCTGTTGGGTGACAAAACTATTAGCTTTTGGGAACAGATGCAAGATCCATCTTCAAACCCTAATTCCAATTCCAATCCCAATCCTCACAATGCCAATGCTGCATCTCAGCTACCACGACCGCCGCCGTCAACAGCGGTCCCCGCCGCCGGCGCCTCCTCGTCCTCGATTTTCGCACGCTCCGGCGGGGCTCACCACCGGCGAGCTCACTCGGAGGTGAGTTTCCGGCTTCCGGACGACATGATGGACCTGTCGCCGTCGGATCCATTTGCCGGCGGGTCATCTACAGCGAGTATGGAGGAGATCGGATCCGAGGACGACTTGTTCTCGACGTACATTGACGTGGACAAGCTGGGAGGTGCAAACGGGTCGGGCGGTGCGGGAAACGGAGCGGATCCGACCGGAGAACGGGAGAAAAGTCCGGCGAGGGCGCGGCACCGGCACAGTAATTCCGTCGATGGCTCTTCATCTTTTGCCGAAATTATGGAAGCTAAGAAGGCTATGCCTCCTGATAAGTTAGCTGAGCTATGGACAGTTGATCCCAAGCGTGCTAAGAGGTTCTCAACTTCGATCTCAGAAATGCTTCTTTTTTGGGTTCTAATGATTAGACTTCGATGTGACGTGTGAATTAGTAAACAGTAGGGTCTTATCTGTTTAAGGTTTTACTTTAGTTGATTTTCCCGTTTCAAATTTAATTGGTTTATGAAGTTAAATTGAGGCTTGTTGCTGAAGGCCGAAACTGCTCGACCTCTCTGTTGTGATATTTCGATGATGCTGTGTGAATTGATAAGTTTTAATTTATGAATAATTAGAGGCCAGGGTTTTTAATTGCAGTTGTCGTCATTGTTTCACTGCAATCCATGTCATTTGCTAGAAAAGTCAGGCATATGTAGCCTTAAATTGCTTTGCCACTTGGTTGGAGTGTGTAAAAGAACCTTGTTGTGGCAAAAGTTACGGTCATAATTTGGTAAACAGAATTGTTGTAGTGGCTGAAATTGAGGATGTGAATGCATTTTTAAAACCTTGTTACAGACCATGAAGAATCATTTAAATGCCGGGAGCGAAGGGTTTATGTTAAAACTAGTGCTCACTTGTTTTATTAAGTGATTGCTTTGAATTTGATTCTGTATATTATTATTCTCATTATTTTATTGTTTTTGTGAATAGAATACTTGCAAATCGGCAATCCGCTGCTCGATCTAAAGAGAGAAAAGCTCGCTATATACAAGAACTCGAGCGCAAGGTTCAAACACTTCAGACCGAAGCCACAACCCTTTCTGCTCAGTTGACATTATACCAGGTTTGTGCTTGTCTAAAATTTAAAGTGCTTTTAGACGTTCCATTTTACGGAGTAGACTCTGATTTGTTAAGGGATTTCCTGATGCTGCTTGGTGCAATTTCAACTGTATCATGACACATTTACATTTATTCCAGAAGTATTGTAAAATTTGCTTCAACTTAAATTTAGTATACTAATCAAGTTGTCTTCTGTATGCCGCATAGGATTATATTTTTATAATTTGTGTCTGTTCTTGTTACCTTCAAATATTTGCTTAACCCGTAGATGTCATTGTTGCGTTTGTATTTCTCTTCTGGAATTCCTCCTTTTATGTGGAATCTAGAATTGTATAGAATTTTACATAATGTGATATGTGGGTAATGTAATGATGCGTTGTTTTTGAGGATTTACTGGGATGACTTATTTTGTATGCGTATACAAACCAATTGTGGCCAAATAGAAATTACTCAAATACTTAATGATTCTTTATAGAGGGACACAACAGGCCTGAGTACTGAAAATACCGAGCTTAAGCTCCGTCTGCAAGCCATGGAGCAGCAAGCACAGCTTCGTGATGGTAACCATCATTATATTCTTAATATACATAAAAACCACGTACTTTACTAATCTTTTTAATGTAACTTTTAGAAGTGTGTTATTAAGATCAGCTAATTGTACTGAAATTAGTTTCTGATATGTTGTAGCTCTTAATGAAGCATTGAAAAAGGAAGTTGAGAGACTTAAAGTTGCTACTGGTGAGATGATGAGCCACACTGAATCCTTTAATTTGGGAATGCACCATATGCCGTTTACGGGATCAACTTTCAGTCCAATCCTGTCACAATCAGGTCCTTCTGGTCACCAGAACATCCAGTTGTCATCATTTGGTCACTCCCCATCAACAATGCCAACTCATCAACTGCATCAAACTAGTTCTCATACACTATCAGAAATATTGCAAAATGACCAGCTTGGTCGTTTCCAGGGCCTTGACATTAGTAGCAAAGGATCAACTCTGGTGAAGTCTGAAGGCCCCTCACTGTCTGCAAGTGAGAGTAGCACTACCTTTTGAATTGACAGAAATCACTTGACCTGCTGACTTATCCATTTCATTCATTGTTCGTAGTGTTGACGTCTAGTCAACTAATGAAGATACCTTATTTAATCATTCAGATTTGAGGATTAATTCTTAACTATTTATTCTTAGGGATGCTCACCAAAAAGGGGAAGCACCCTTGGGGTTTTGTTGTGAAGTTCACACAATCTTGTTCAGCAAGACATTTGGTGTTTCTGGGCGCGGGAATATCGGGAATGAAAGGTCATTCCCATTGTATCTTTGTATGTTGGGATATGCATGGATCCTCTGATCTTTTGTATCATCGTTTACGTGATAACATGTACACTGTGTGATTTATGTTGTGTTTCACTTCATTAATAGTCCTAGATGGACTCGTTTTTTTATAAATTTAGGTACTTAGTTTTTGGTTTATTCATAGTCGTTGTACAATCCAAGAGTTTTTGATAGCTGTTGTATTAAAAGTTTCTTCCCAGATCAGACCTTTTTATTAATAATTGGCATTTCTTAGTAATTCTAATCCAACGGAGGACACACAAATTAGTCAAAATGTAAATCTTCGTAATATTACACTTTTGATCGTAGCAGCATGTTTAGCCACACCATAATTATATCTGTTGTAACTCCGGCGTAGCCATCGTTTTCAATTTCATATTAAATTTTCGGCTCTGCCATTTGCTACTGTCCTTGTATAATTTTCTGCGTTAAGTTTCTGTATTGTTCTTTCTCTCTCTTTCTTTACATAGTATGATGTGATCATAAAATACTCATTTCAGTGACTTTCAGATGTTAGATCCTCAACATAGAAACAATGAATCTGAATCGTAGGTTATATGGCGCATATACATGTAGGCCAAGCACGATATAGTTATTAAATATTGTACCAAACCATGATGATGCAACCATACTGGTATTAGATGCATAATCAATGATGCCGCCGGCAAAGGGCATAATTTGAAACAATTTTATGATGCTCAAGTGGGTCCCTGGTAGACTCTGCAAACAGAACAGGTTCTTGGTAACAAAAAACATATATGTTCTTGCTGGACTATCTCTCTGAAGTTTAAAATAATCTTTTAAAAATCCAAAATATTATCATTCTCACTTCCCGAGGGGCTTTCCTTCATCTCCAATTTCTCTTCCCGCACATCCAATTTTTCTAAATCCCTTAACCTTTTTTATTAGGACAAAAAGAAAAATTTCTCGCCTTATATTTTCTCACTGGATAAAGATATTTTGACAATATTTTTTTGACAACATTTTAACATCATCTGTGTGTCATTATGTGATTGGTCTATGTTGGTGTTTATAATTATTATTATTGATAGTGGAGTAATTTTGGACCAATCATAAAATGACACGTAAATGATGTTAAAATGTTATCAAAAAAATGTTGTCAAAGTATCATTATTCGTTCTTATTCACCCATTTTTTTACATACTTTCATGCTAATCATAGGTGTTGCACAAGTCCTCCTTTACCCCCTCACCCTTTGCACTGCCTCCATCACTCCCTCACCCCTTGCACCCTAGGCACCACAGTACAAACTTTCTTTAAATCAGCACTCACACATCTCTCTCCCCACATAGTGCACCCACACACTACCTCTCCCCATACACCCCACCTTAAAGCAAGGTCGTGTCATGAACAACAAACAAGCAAATACACATTATATTTACTAAATTTATATATTTGAGATAATAGAAATTTGTAAATGTTTTGTTATTGATGTCGAAATATGTAGGTGAACTTAGGTACGAAACAAATTTGGAGATTTACGATTACAAATTTAGAAAATTAGTATTTAGAGGTTGCGGAAAATAATAGATTTTGAAATTTAGTTGTAAATTATACGATTTCAAATCCGGTCAAAAGAGTATCAAATTTGGGGATTGTATTGAATTTTGATTTTCACAATGGAATGGATTTCAAAATAAAAAATTCTATCAAATTTCAATATATATTGTGTTTTAGATTTTTTTAAATTTTATTTTTTTATTTTCTTTAAATTTAGTTATTTTGTTAGGCATACTGGTTTTAATGTTTATTTTGAATTTGTTTATGTAGAAATGGCAACAACACAGGGGCTCTATATACTAAGTTGAGTGTTTTGCATAAAGTGAAGCCAAAAGGAGGCCTATGACATTTGTCCATAGAAGAGGTTGTGGTAGTGAAGTTGGAGAAGTTGCAACATTAATTGGTTTTCATTTTTAGAAAGATGTTATTGAGCAGCAAGAGGAAGTTATTAGCAACACAAGAATATTGTTCACTAAGAAGATGAAGTGGTTGGATATCCTAAAGGTCTACACGACATTTGTTTGTTGACGAGTTATGTTGATCATGTTGCATATGGATTATAGAAAGGTTGAGTTAGTGTAGAATTGATGGGAGATAAAGTTGGTCTCCCATGAAAAAAATAATTAAATTTGGACCACATCATATTGTTGTCAAGAATTATGTGTTGAATTATGGTTTACTATCTCTATATGATATTTCTTATTATTATGCCGATAAGGGATTGATATTCGCGTTTGTTGAAAGATGACATAGAGAGATAAATACTTTTCATGTTTGTTGGTGAGATGATCATCACACTAAATGATGCATTTGTGCTGCTACATTTGCCTATGGTGGGACAATTTTGTCCAAATGAACCTTTAGACTTTGAAGTGACACTAAAAAATTTCATGGACTTATTAGGCATGGAACGCCTGAAGGCTACATTTAAGCTCAAGCAATATCGTGGTCCTCACGAAAGATTGAGTTGGTTGAGAGACGTATATACTAACTATTGTGAGAACTAACAACGGATGTATGTCGCATGGGCCTATTTGTTGCATCTTGTTGAGTGCATAATTTTTGCAAAAGATAATGTCACATACATCTGTGTATCCTACTTGATTATCTTTAGATATCTACAGTCGTGTGGCCAATATGTCTAAGAAGCAGCTTGGAGATTATGATTTTGTAGAGTTGAATATATGAGCATTTTTCTAGGATGGGAAGGAAAAAATTGTTTACTAGTTATGATGAGGCTAGACCTCGCGCTGCACGTTTTGCCATGGAGAGGAAGAGTTCCAGCCTACATGAGATCAAAGCATAATTAGATGCCTTGACATATGATGGGATGATATGGAACCTATATAGATCACATCAAATTACTCGTTCGTATATGGCAATATTTTTCCATTCATCAAAGTTGATGGTGTACACTGTCATCTATTCAAACGTGTGTTAAGGAAATTTGAGTGTCAACAACGTATCCCGCAGTCGTCAAATGTTGTTCCATAGGCTGAATTGATAACCATTGATAATTGTTGATTATGCTTCACTAAGCATGTGTTGGTCAATTTCACCGCAGCCTCCTTCCATTTACATGTGTTTAGGGCCCCAAGTTGTTCATAAGGGTATCTCATCCTTATGTTATTCGTGTTGCTGAAGACGATTGATCAAGTCTCGTACCCAGACTTCATTGACATTCCAGTGAGCATGAGATCAGAGTCAAAATTTGGTTTATTGGTATGTAACCAAACAATGTTTATGTATTTATGTTATGAAATAAGGTTAATTAATTTATTGGTATTGTCATTGTTGGGCATTATCTGACCTGTTGTGACAATTTTACAAAGGATGATTGATTGTCGTGATGTGAGTGAGGGTTTTTTAGCTTGGGATCGAACTAGCTTGGGAGGCATCCAAAGAACATGCCCTCAATAGTAGAGGAGGTCGTAATGTATGTAGCAGACATTCATCTACATTTGGCCAGCAACATGTTTATTTAATGATGTTTTGACCTATGTTGATTTACATGTAATATCAACATTTTTATTATACCTTATGTTGTTTTGATTTTCAAAGTAATGTTTGTAACCAAAGAACTTTGTATTTAATATTTTCATTTATATAATTTGTTTACCTAACACAAATATCAGTTTTGATGCAAGTCTACATAACTGGTATTGACGTCCATCAACTCTGTAAATCTTTACATTTTATTGACATAAAAAGATGTTCATTCCCGAGTCTCGGGGTAACAATGGGTAAACGATATGATATTCACCATCGATAAAGAACAACATTCTTATGGGTGAACCTCTAAAGATAAAATTAGTAAATGAAACTTATTCTATAACGATATAAAATAATAATCACTCTACCTGCACAAAATGAGAATCATGAACACGTCATATAGTTATTAGTTGATGTTGTCTTATATTATAATGTTGTCTAGTACGTAGTGGAAATATCGTAATATCTTGAACCGATGACAAATAGACTGAGATGACATCGATTAGAAATAGCATAGTCTGTGTCTGGTATAGTCATTCACTTCTCCATATTAGCTTGTAATTAATAAAACAAATTGTTATGGAAGAAAATGGTAAGATATAATAAGTAAAGTGTAAAGTATACCAACATGTACCCCTGATTGTGAGTCGACTAGTAAAGACTTCCTTAGTTCTTCTAGTTGATCATAGCTTCCCACTAATCTATTGGCTAAGTTCTTTAAACAAATCATGTTAGATAAAGGGCTATGACTCTTCACCTATCCCCAATAAAGCAACAATGCATTTATACTCACAATTGTCAACAACAATATCAACAACATCAATAATGTAAAAATGACAAATCAGATGGAATTGATTTAACATGGGTATTCTCCTTTGTTGCACAAATCCAAATTTTGCATCAAATCACTAGTGCAGAATTGGCCTTTAACGTCACCCAATAGACGTCCGTCCACGAAAACACCAACGTAAATAATTGACCGGTGGCATTTTTATAAATAAGTGGGACTTTAGACATCCGTTGTGGGGGGGCCCTGACGTCTATAATATTATAAATGTCGGGCCTCCAACAACAGACGCCTAAAGGCTGACAGGGTAGTTGAAGAGTTTATTTTTTCAGCCACTTAAACGTCCGTTGTAGGGAGGGCCCCGACGTTTATAATATTATAGATGTTGGGGCCCCCACAACGAACGCCTAAAGGGCTGACAGGGTAGTTGAAGAGTTTATTTTTTCAGCCACTTAAACGTCCGTTAGAGGGGCCCCGACGTCGAGCCCCTCTAACGGACGTCTAAATGCCCCTGTGAATATGAATATTTAAATCAGAAAGACGTCATATTAGTTAGGGCCTCGATGTCTATAATATTATAAACATCGGGGGCCCCTAGTACCCGACGTCTAGTGCCGTTTATACTAAAATCGCGAACCCGCGAGGAGTTACGCTCACTGTTCATTGTCTTCCCCACGTTTTCTCTTTGCGGCATTGCATTTCCAGGTGGGTTTTCTCTCTTTTGGACTGTTTAAATTTACTTTTACTCCGATTAAATTACTCTTTGATGAAATATCTTTGATTTGAACTGATTAAAAATTGTTTTCGGTGCGTTTTGGTGCAGTTTCTGGCGTGTTCTTGGGCGGCATTTTTTACTCTTTTTGGCCTACGTTTTAGGTTGTGCACTCCTCCATTTCCCTCCATT